AGAGTTTTGGCGCTCTAATAGCTTAATGCTGTGCTGGATAGTAAAAGAAAATACTTGATGGGAGAGACAAAACATCTTAAACCCTAAGCTGCGGAAGCCAAAAATGGGATTGGATTCCCATGAGCGAAAGCACAGACAACATCTGCAAATCTGCAGATGATTTTAAACTTCCCATATCACTTACGCCGCACAATACAATGCAAGGGCATGCCCTGAAACAGTACCAGCAGAGGAATTTTCTTTTTGGTCAAAACAGGAATATTATTATTAGTGAGAGCTATTTCAGAAATAAATATTCGTAACAAAAGTTAAATTTTAGAGATATATATATAAACTAGAGATTTTTTTCTCGTATGATGTACGGATTAAAATATTTGATTAAATTTTAAATAATAATAAATTGTATTATCTAAGGTAGCTTAAAATTATATTCACTTTTTTTATAGAAGTGTAATTTTTTTTATTCATTCAAATAAGATTTGAATTAGAGATTTAAAAATTAAGAAGACCATATAAAAATTTAAAATTATTTATTTCTCTATTTAAGCCCCCAATTTATTATTTATGATGTTTTTTATTTAATTTAATATATTCAAATCCCAATTAAAATATTATTTAAACTCAAAATTAGTTATTAATTCCTTCATTTGACTCTCAAATTGAAATCCCATTTAATAATGATACTCTTCATTTAATTCAATATATATAAATCCCAATCAATATATTATTTAAATCTTATCAATTAAATATATTCAGATGTCTTCATATTATACCCGACCCATTTTTAAAACGAACCGAGTATTACAAATTTTCAAGAATATAATTGATTGATTGATTGATAGGAAGAATCCCTTAAGAAAATTAAATAATTTAAATTCTTATGTAGATTATTAGATTTGTCAAATTCCTAATCAAATCATATGATCTAAAGAGAAATTTTAAAATTTTCTAAAATGACTCTAATGTCTGTTTTATTAGAAATGGAAAGAGAATTCCAAATTAGCATGTTTCATTTGACAATTTTATATCTCTGTAATACGCTTATATTGAATCCTTGAATAAAACTTAATTATAATACAACCTTATAAATTAACAAATTCAATTACACCGTTAACGAGTTTTAGTTCTAAATTAACAGTTTTATATCTCCATAATTAACACGTTTTAATTCTGAATTAATAACTTTATGTCCTTATAACATACTTGCATTAAGTCTTTAAATAAAATTTGATCACAATGCAAAACCTTAAAAATTAATAACTTCAATAACATAGTTAACACAAACAACTTGCAATTCATGATTGTTTTCTAATTCCATATAAAACCAAAAAAAATCACCATTCAAAATATTCATCTTCTTGTACAAATAATTCCAATACCAGTTTGGATTTTTGCATATATTTATTGTGTGACCAACTTTATTGCATGTCTCACAATAATAAGTCTTCTTGATTTAGAATAGTGATTCTGTCTCTTATTACTACCTCTGGTCATTAATATAAAAACTAGTTAACTAATTTAAATTGATTAAAAAATTAGTTAAATTAGTTATTTATAATAAATAAGTATTATTTTCTCTAAAGTACTCTTGCTAATCAAGTGTTATTCGATGAAACATTTAATATGTATAACTACTACAAGAACTACTTTAGAAAAAATAAATAAATATGATAGATAAAATAGATTGGGGTCTTATATTTAAAATCAAATTAAAAATCAAACTAGCTCTTATATTAAGAACTGGAGTTAAATTAAGAAAAATGAAGAAATCAAGATAGCATATGAAACTATTAAGATCAAGAAAGGAAGATTTGATAGAAAAATTAACTCTTTGTTGCCTCCTTGATTGATATTACAATTTTGTGCTAGTAAATGCCAAGTTTTCTTTGTTAAAAGCTCTTATACAACGCAAAATTGATAGAAAATCAACATCTCTCTATATTTATAATGGGATTAATATAATCTTTGGTCCTTTAAATTTACCTTCATTTTGATTTTGGTCCCTCAAATTTCAAATCATAGGTTTTGGTCACTCTAAAGGCAAAATGGTCTAATTTCTTATTGGATTATAGGGATCACTATTTTAGTATTTTAAATAAAAAGAAACTTGAGTGACCAAAACTTATGGTTTAAAATTTGAGAGGCTAAAACCAAAATACAGGCAACCTTGAGAGACTAAAATTTATATTTACCCTTGATAATAAAAAGGGCGTTATAGTCATTTCATAAAATTTAAAAAAAAATTTGGGTTATGTACCTAATTGGGGTTTTGACAAATTTAATGACCCAAATAAAAATTTAGATTATTTAAATATCTTTTTTTAAAAAAAATTTAGCAAAATATACAAATAATTGTTATACACATGCCAAAATAATTATAAACCGAAGTTATGAGCATCTCATAATTTACCAAATATATCCTCGTATTACTATACATGACCATATCAAATATGAACCCAAAAAAATCATGATTATTCCATGAGCTACTATTACCTGCTTTTTCATTCACTACTTTCCTAAAAAATTTAGCCAAACACTTTAGTAAATTAATTATGTTTATAAATAAATTTTATAAAGTCTATGTTACTCAACACTAATCTAAATGCACTCAAAGAATATGGAGAAAATATGGTTGATGGTCTAATAATTGATTTTAGGATTAATATCATTACTTACGCTTACAATTTGATTGAATTTTAATTTTGATTATGTAGTTTCAAATCATAGTTTTTATCCTTTTGGTTTTCTAAGGATTTTGTTTGAATTAATGTCATTAAATGTAAAGACCAAAACTAAAACTCGTTAAAAGCATATGGACTACAACCAGACTACAAGTTACCCACAATTTCTTTCCCTTTTTTCCCCCAAATATTTTAGACATACTTTGGGAAAAATTGAAAAATAATTTTCAGCTTGATGTCCCTAATAGTTTTTTTGGGAAACTTTCAGTCAATCTCCTCTAAAGCAACTTAGTTTCTAACAGCTCCCAAAAGATTTTAAAACTTCATTCTATCCCTTTGACAGACCAAAATAAATTAAATGTTATGAGTAAAAATATAATTATGCCCTTGCATTTTTTTTTTTAAAAAAAAAGATCAACCTTCTTGGAGCTCTGATGGTCCTGCTGCCGCAGAATTTTTTTTTCAAAAAAAAAAGGTGGATAACCTCTTAATACATCAAAAAAAAGTTATAATCATCAAGCTATCCAATCTATTTAATAATATAATGCAAATATATATATACACAACAAAACAAATGCAAGTGCTTAAGTCTGAACACACAACTAAAATAAAGTGATTTGCAAGAGATATACAAGAATTTACAACTCCATTTAAAGTTCTATAAAGACAAAAACTAAATGTTGTGAACAATTGAAATAAAATGGTTTACAACACAAATTAAGCAATTTGCAAGAGGTATATAGGAATTTACAATTTCATTTGAGATTCTGTAGAGAGAAAAATTAAATATCATGAACAATTGAAATAAGGATATTTATAACATAAATTAAACGATTAGCAAGTATATGAGAATTTACAACTTCACCTGAAATTCAATGAAGAGAAAAAAAAAATTGTCAAATGATATGAAATAAGTTCCAGAGTCTTATGGTGGCTGTTGGAAATTAAGTTGCCCAGGGGGTTGGCTAAAATTTTTTAACTCAATTTTTTTTTTGGTAAAAGACCCGCACAGTATTGGTCTTACAACGTCCTTCTTTTAAAATGATTGCTTTAAGCCCACAAGGAATTCGGCAACCTGGAGGAGGATATTATAATAAGGCTTGGTGGGTCTACCTCAACGAAGAAAAGCCCAAAGGGTCCAAAACAATTTATCATTAATATTTCTTAGTGAATGTCAAGTTTGCTATGCATAAGTAAAAGAAAATGATTAGTACCACTTCCTATTCTTAATTAATATAAGATTTAGTGTGTAATTCAAACTAGATTTTAAAATACAAATTAAATCTCATATTAAGAATCAGAGGTGATATTACAATTTCATGCATGTAGACCTTTTTACTTTAGTAGAGGGAGGGGGATGAAACATTAATTGTAAAAATATGTGATATTTAAAGAATTAAAGTGACAAAATTGAAGTGGATTTGAGTTCTCTCCCATTTATTTTTTTCCCTCTATTTTCCGTCTGAACCGCATTAGAATGAAATTTGACCTGTTTAGATTCAATATTTTAAAAATTATTAATAATGTGTTAAATTATAAAAATAAAGAACTTAAATTACTAAATTTTAACCAGGACAATTTAAAACTGCAATGAAGAATATTTTAAAAGTCATTTAATATAATATTAAATTTGGATCACACAAATTTCATTCTAATGATTAATAGTGGTTGAGAAGGAAAGTGGAGTTGAAGTGGAAGGGAAAGAAAACGGCCGGAGAGAATCCAAATTCGATTAAAATTGAATGGAAGCGCTAGCACACGAGTATAGGTGGCAATAAAGCAGGTCGAATATGTGAATTTCTTATGGTTGTTCAAAGTAATATAATATTTAATTTCAAGCTTGTCTCCTACATATATACCATTTTCCAATTCCAAGCAAAGTTGCAGGAAGATAGAATATGGAGTAAGAGTAATGGTTAATTGTAAAAAAGAAAATATCACTTTTTCTAGTAAAAGTGAGCATAGTTCCAAACTTGAAATATTAACAAAGCTGGAAAATCCTGTGTTCCTTATCTAAGGTTTATTCCATATCAATCCATTTTGTAAAGCTTCTTCAATTCATTGAACAGATTTTACCAAACTTCAATATTATATAAATGAAGAAATCAGGCTAACCAAAACAACATTAATGAACGATGGCAAATCCCACAAACGATATGTTCAACAAACTGAATGAAGAAATGCAGAAACTGGAAAATATGGAGAGGGAGAGTTATGATCATCATCATCAAACTCCACGTCCCAAGATACAAAGGGTCCTACATCATCAGAGAAATCGAAAGAACTTTGGAAAGTATTACTTTCCCAGGTTTGTGTCATTTGGTCCAATTCATTATGGTAAACCACATTTGCAGCTAGGAGAAGAGTTCAAGTTCATGTGGGCATCAATGTATCTTCAAGGGAAGGACAAAGATGCGAAGCACCAGAAGGTTCTTGAGAACATTAAGGATCTGAAAGATCTCTACACAGAAGATGCTCTTGGAGATTTCGAGGACGACGAGAAACTGTCGGCGATATTGTTCGTGGATGGGTGTTCACTGCTTCAAATCTTGCTCAAATTTGATTTCCATAAACCTGAAGATCTGAAGATTCAGGTTGACCTGCTGGCTCTTCTTCGCCAGGACGTGCTCTTGCTGGAGAACCAGCTTCCTTTTCAACTTCTCAGCCTTTTAACAAATGATGACGACCTCGTCATTAGAGCCATAGACATGTTTGTTGGTCGCTTTCAACGTTTCTCGGTGCATAAACCAGAGAGACTGTCGTCGATGCAAAAAGCTATGCAGGACGAGGAGACTGGTGAGAACATATGGTTCTATTTCTATGTCATACTATTATTTTCTTCTATTTCTATTTCAATGTGTATGTGTGCATATTCAGTTAGGCATATGAATGCATATGAAGTCTACACCTTATTCTATAATTGGATGGCATAAATTTAACTTCACTTTTGACTAAAGTAAAGACAGACAGAGACAAATGGTAGGTCCCGTTTCTGATTATGTAGGTTTAACAAAAGGACGACCCACTTCTTTTATATTATTCTCTCTTCTTGCGAATGAAGTGCATATCCATCTAAATATGTTATATACTCTCTTTCCATGCTAAACAAAAGAAAGGGGTTAATCATGGGGGTTATTTTGTTCCTATATGAATATAGGATTTTAATTCACATTTTTTTTCTTATGTTTATAATTTCTTTTAAATTATCCTTATTAATTATACATATATTAAATGCATTTTTTTAATCAATGACAGTTCCATTACAAATTATTAAAAATGTATTTTTAGCAGAAATATTTTTTTTTGCAAATAATTATGTAAATATGTATGCATGGTACACTGCTTACTCTCACCAAGTTTACATTCCATTGTTATATAATATTTTTCTATCATCATTTAGACCTTCTGAATTACACTTTGTCTAGTGTAATTAAACAGTGGTGATAGAGTTAAAGTATTAGAATTTTTTATTCACCTATCCCTAGCCCTTCCCAAGGAATCTACTCACGCAACCAACACAATATACATTCCTTTTAACAGAATGAGTGAGGGGTGCCCATCACTTCCAAACTCATCAAATCTATATCTCTAGACAATCCAAATTTAGTTTTTTATTTTTATTTTTGTAAAATAATTATTTTACTAATTATATAATAAAAATAAAGATAATCTTTAAATTCTTATTTTCCAAAATAAATAATTTTTTATTTAAAAATAATTAATTTAAATTATTAAATCATAAAGTGATAAGCAACTTGATGAACACCCAAAATGATTCCCATTTTTAATGAGTAGATCATCCCAGGCTGTTTTGTAGAGAGAGAACTATATGATGCCAGGTAAGATGAAAGTAAAATTTAATGGTTAAAAGTCTCATAATATATTTGAAAAAAGTTGGACCCCTCTGTGGATCATTCCATGAATAGCTCTTTTTTTTTTTTTTTGGGAATCTCTTCCACTTTTCAACTGAAAAGTGATGGGGATGCATTGGACTATACATGTTCATCCCTTCTACAAATGTAAATGCAGCCGCAGGTAAAGAAATTGAGGTGCGACTCGTACATCCTGCTCCTCCTCCTCATCTTCTTCATCATCTTCGCAGCGAAATGTTGAGAGGCTTTCATCCGGAAGATACCAAATCAAAACACAAACACAGATCAAGAACATACAGAAACGTAAAGGAGCTAAGAGAAGCAGGGATTCGAGTGAAGCGAAGCAAACCAGTAAGCCCCATCGACATCTCATTCCAGTCCACTTGGTTCGGTGGAAGACTCAAACTTCCCAAAATAGTGGTCGACAATATTACAGCACCAACCTACCTCAATCTCATAGCCTACGAGACATTGCCGGATTTCGAGAACAAGCACGAGATCAGCTCGTACGTTGAGTTCCTCGACACAATCATCGACCACTCCGACGACGTGAAGATGCTGCGAGCCGCCGGAGTTCTGCTGAACAGACTTGGGAGCGATGAGGAAGTGGCGAATCTGTTTAACACCATAGCCACAGACTTGAGGACTGATGCTTCAACGTATGCGAGTGTGGCGGATGAGATAGAGATGCATTATAAGAAGAGGTACAAGACATGGTTGTCTCAAGCTTTTCATATGTATTTCAAATCGCCATGGACGATAATTGCTTTTCTTGCTGGTTTTTTCGCTCTTTTTCTCACTGCTGCTCAGACCTGGATCTCCTTCTTTCCCCCTAAATAATAATATTATTCATCGGTGAGAGAGATCAGTCTGATCAGTCTCACAGTTTAAGCCATGGCTTAGCTCCTTCTTCTTGTTTGTTCTAAACCCTCACCATACATTATAGTGATGAGCATATGGTGGTCATTACTATGGTGAGCTTCTTTTCATTTTTGTCTTCAGTCATTTTCTTCACAGGAAGAGATGTATCTATACTTTCTTTAAGGATGCTGCAAACTTGTAACAAGGGCATGTATATGCTCATTTATGAACTTTGTGGCTCAATAATATGTACTCTCTCCGCTCTCAAATTGTAAGAGCTTGCTAAACGGGTTTGTTGGCAAAAAAAATTAAAGGGGACGGGTTTATTTTTCTAAATATAAAATCTTAATTTATTTTGTCTTTCAAATTCATAATTCTTTTAAATTCTCTCTATTAATTAAACATATTAAGAGGGTTTTAATAAAGGAAGTAATTCTAATACAAATTATTAAAGAGGATATTTTAAGAAAATCAGTAATTTTTTTTTAACTAATAATTAGTTTATCTAATTTTTTTGCTTTCAAAAATTAGTTATTGAGTTTTTATATTTAAGACCGATATAAATATATAGGTTAAAATATATATTTGGTCATTTAACTTTGTACAAGATTTCAATTTGATCCTTTAACTTTAAAAAATATACATTTAGTTCTTTAACCCTAAAATCATTAGGCTTAAATTGTGATCTTTTGTAACAATGATGGTTTTTTTGAAAATTAAACACAATATGTTAGTGTTTAAGAATGTTTTATCAATATTATATTTAAGATCTCAATGTTGTCAATTTTCGTTAATAATTTTAGAGTTAAAAAACTAAAATTATACTTTTTAAAGTTAAGAGATCAAATTGAAACTCTTTATAAAATTAAAGCACCAAATGTACAGTTTAGCCAAATATATATGATGGCCCACGCCACCTTCTCTATCTGAGCAACGAATGAGGGGGACATATATACATACACATATACACACACGCATATATATATACACACACGCATATATATATTTGTATGATGGCTCCCAGTTGAACAAGGCCCACCAACTTGTCTGTATATATGATGGCTCACAGTACCTGCTCCGTCTAGTCATTATATTTCTTATCGTTAGCCACAAATTAAATAACACCACAGACACAAGTAGAAAAAGAAAATAGCAGCCCTCAAATTCTTTCCTTTGGGCTCTATGCTTTTGCATGAGAGAATAAGGATACAATGAAGAGGTGTACATTTATGAGGGTAAGACCGATCTAGCCTCTTTCTCTTTCCCATAAGCCTAACACGAGATATAAATATTCATAATTTTAGTTATATCTAATTGTTTTAGATGAAATTAAACTTGTTCGTGGAGGTTTGTAAGTTATAAAAATGGAGGAAGTGAATTGAGGAGGCCGGATTCAGATCCTCTCAGAATTATCTTTCTCATTTTTCCTTCTGTGAATCCCTTCTGTACCCTCAGATAAACAAATGGATGGTTTAGATGTACTCCTCCGGTTCTTAATTTGGACCCATTTAACTAATTTGATTAGATTAAGGAAGTTAGATAAGTTAGTTAATTATAAAAAATGTGACATGTTTTTCCTAAAATACCATAATCATCTTTTTTAATACTCTATCTTCCTCTTCTACTTGATTATGGTTGAAGGAGTATCCATAGTGGTAGTTTAGAGAAATTTGATAAATATGAGAAATAGGTCTTATATTTACGACTAAAATTAACTCAACAATTAGGTCCTATATTCAGGGCCGGAAGAGTAATATTTTATAAAATATTATAATATTATTAAATAAATGAATTTAAATTGCAAAAAAATTAATTTGAACAGTTTGCACGTGTAATATAATACAAATTAATTTATAAAAATATTTTAATAATAGTTTTTATAATATTATCTGAACCATCCAATTTTTTTTCCCTACGCTAGGGTAGGGTGGAGAAGGAATTCGGGCAAAAAATGAGAGAGAGGATTCTGACAAGAGAATCCTGATCTCCAATGCATTTTCTTCTTTGATACTAGCCTTATCCAATGATTTGAAAAACATGCTACCGCTCTCATCACTAATACATGCAGTTTCATAAATATCCAGTCCTAAACGTGGCATCTATTAATTTATGCTATATCCGATTCTAAATATAAGAGTTATTTTGTAATATGATATTTAGGACAGTGAGTCATATATACGCTAGAGATGTGTGAGTGAATCTTGACCTTTCGGGGGTGGAATTTATTCGTGTGTGTGTGGAAGACAGTTTCAAATAACTCATACAAAAGCTTAAGCTTAACGTTTTGAATTCAAGAATCCATACTCCTTTTACATGGCGAAGGGATATTTATTTTAAAAAAAAGAAAGAATGGCATGGAATAATATTTTTGGGTGAGAAACAACCAAACTAATGTTAATTAAACTGTTAAAACCAATGCCAATAACAACATATAGCCAAATAGTTATCCCCTTCTTCATCCTTGAAAAAGAAGAACCTGTTCGAGTTGATTCAGGTTCATTAAGGCTGCATTTTAATCAAGGTAAAGGTACAAAAATGTAAATAAATTTTTATCTAAAGTGCACCTAGGCCACCACTGTAAGTTTTTCCCAAGTATAAAAATACTCATAAAGTTACAAGATTAGAGCAATTTGCCTAATGATACTTTTTGTGGTGAGGCTCATGATAATATTATAGAAGTAACAAAATACATTTAACTTAAAAAAATAAAAAGAATAAAGGTGTAAAAATACCAACAAACATTTAGTCAAAGTGCACCAAACACCATTTTTTTTGCAGGCTCAAAAATACCCATAACCATGCAAATAAGTTCATTCTTTTCGTTGTAGCAAAAAAATCTATTAAATTTTCTCATGCTATTTTAATACTAATAATTTTATAGTTAATGTATACATTTGATCCCCTAAATTTATATCAAGTTTTAATTTAGTTTCTTAAATAATAAAGTATATTTTCAGTAACAAATATTAACACCGATAGTCTTATTAACCAAAAATATTGACTCACTGAATTTAAATGCTAACAAAGCACGCTTAGTGTTTAATCATTTAATAAAATATTCTTTATATATTGAAAGATAGATTGTTGATCTTAAAAATAAAAATCAGAACACATCTTCATTAGGTTTCATTTTAAATACTTTTCGATTTACAAATGTTAAATGAAGCATCAATATTTCAAGATTTAATTGCAGGGTTACCATTTAAATTTGCTAAATCAACATTTTTTGTTAATGAGACAAACAGTGCTAATATTAAGGGGATTAAAAATACATTTTATAAATTTAAGGGTCTAAATTAAAACTCAATATAAATTTTGAAGAAAAAAAAATATATTAACCATAAAATATTAGTATTATAATCTTATAATAAAATTTAATAATTTTTTTTGCTAAAATTGAAAGAATTAATTTATTGCATGGTTATGGGTACTTTTTTAAAAAAAAAAGGAGTTTAGCGCACTTTAACTAAAAAATTATAAGTATTTTTATACCTTTACTCCTTTTTTCGTTTCTTGAATAAGGGGCATTTTATTATTTTCATAACATTAGTGTAGTCTTGCCACAAAAAATAACAATCGTTCGACAAATTTAACAAACCGTTTGATTTTTCTCTATTTTTATAAGTTTATAAGCACTTTTGTAACTCAAAAAAAATGTATAATGGTGGATGTGCTTTGGTAAGAGTTTATAATTATTTTTGCACTTTATCTTTTTAATTATTTTAATTAAAAAATGATTAGTAATTTTTAAAAAATTCCCGCCGTAAATTGATATGCGATTTACATTTAAAGTATTAAAATACAAAAAAAAAATCACTAATTCGCATTTCTGGTCATTTGGAGTGAAAAGGATGTACGGAAGTCTCCCCTTTTCCTAGTTTAATGGAAGCAATTAATTTGATAAGAAATGTGCTGTTGGTCATCCATTCAACCAGGATGAAGTTAGGCTTCCTGTTCATAGAAATTAGTAGGTCAACATTACTCATTCATAGACAACAGGAGCAATCCCCAGCAGATCTTTTGGCTAAATTTACTTACTATTTTCGGTTTTAATATAAGGTTTGTTTGATTTTTATTTTAGTATTAAATTTTAGATCTCAATTCATTTTGTCTCTTATATTTATATTTTTTTTTGAAATAATCTTTTTAACAATGATAGTTCTAGCCAGTATACTTGATTAGTAAGGATATTTTAAGAAAAACAACACTTATTTAAGACAAATAACTAACTCAACTTACTTTTTTAATAATCTTTTCAAATTAATCAACTAATTATTATAATTAGGAACAGAGATAATATATGCTAGATAAAATTTTTGTACCTTTGATCAATTTTTACCTTTTGAATAAGAGGCGAGCGTTAACGAAAGAAGATGGCAGTAGTTCCCAATGATTTTTCGTTTGATCAGTTTTTATTTAAAAAAAAGAAGAAGAAGGAGAAGGTGTAGCTTTTGCACCAAAAAAATCAAAAATAAGAATGTGTATCTTTTAGCTTTGGTCAAGGATACAACTTATATTTATTTAATACATTCTTTTTTAAATAGAATAATCGATTCAAACAATACATGTCAGCCAACCGATGAAAAGCTATTATATTTAAAATGATTACAATTGTTTATCCAAAATAATAACAAAAATAATGATAAACTATGTAGTCATCAATTGCAAGAGAGAAAACAAATCCATACGCTTGCCTATCGTTTTTTCTTATTTTAATCATTCCATGTCCAAAAAACAATAATAGTATCAATTAATAATTTGTATAGCACCTAATGCTCATAAGGGTTGTTCAAATTTTATTTTATTTTTTTTAAATAATTATTTTAATAAGTATAGGATAAAAAATAAAAATAATCTTTTAACTATTATTCTTTAAAATATAATTTTTTTTATTTTTAAATAATTATTTAAAATATTAAATCTGGACCGTCCAGATTAGATCTGGATGGTCCAAATTGCTCCTCAGGTGATGAGTCATGGTGCTCATCATCATCACCTGGTGAGCACTTGATGCGGACTCTTAATTAATATAGTGCTTAAGGATGAGAATATTGACATTATAAGTAGTGCAGATAAGTTAAAATAATAGGGGAACCCAGTACCCAACCTAGCCCGTTGAGGTCAACCTCAAATGGACAGTGGTAATCCCGTACTACATTGTCACCTTTAAAATTTAAAACACATGAAGAACTGACCACATGAATATGGACAAAAAGCAATCAGACAACTCCTGGGTCCCACACTCTCTCTCTCTTCCACGTCCTCTCGCCATCTCTGTGAATATATAAGTTGGAGATACATCATACGGTAGACTTTATGGTCTATTAAAAGACAAACATGATTCAATTATTTAGCGGCCCAATTTTATTCCTTATATGATTGAGCTTTCTTCTTATTTATTTTTTAGTATATTAAATAAATGAAACATAAAAGAGATATTTAAATTATTTGAGTTGGAGTTGCATTATTGTTCACAGAGTGATATAAGCAGTTTGTTTTCAACTCTTTATAATTTTAATTTAGACATAAAAAATTAATTATATTATTTGTTGAATTAATATGTTATTTGATTCCGTGGTCAAAAAATATGTTATTTCATACGTGAGATTCTCACTGTGCTCTTTGTTATATTAGTCAAGTAACAAATTCGTAGACATTAAAAAAAATTAGTTAAGTAAATTCTTTGTTAAAACTTATTCTAAAATCTTCATTTTTAATACTTCTTCTAATATAAGAGCTAACTGACTAATTTGAATAGATTAATAAAATTAGTTATTTGTAATAAATATGTATTTTCTTTCCTAAAATATTTTTGCTAATCAAGTGAGCTAGAACTATCATTATTATAAACACTGTTTTAAAAAAAATAAATCAATAAACAAAATAAATTAGAATCTTATATTTAAAACAAAGATAAAAGTCAAATAAGCTTTGATATTAAGGATCAAAGGTAATATATAAAAACAAATTGGTTAAAATTAATTAACGATAATAAATTTGTAAAAAAATAATATATTTTTAAATATATTCTTATTTGTGGAGTGTGATGAAAGAGAGAATAAGTGAAAAAATAAGAGATAATGAGCGGAAAAAAATAGGGATAAGAGATAAGAGATATTTTTTGGAATAAGTATATTGTATAATTTATAAAATGAATATGCTTTATCCCAAATATTGTACTACTTCCTTAAAAGATAGTTATAGGGTTGAATTTGGTTCCAAATATAATATATACTTCAATCCGAAGTTTATAATTTTCTTTTTAAAATATCTCTATAGATTATGTTCCGACCAAAGAGTAGTTTCAATATAGATAATTAAAAAGAAATAATTTAGAAAAATTAACATATATTCATTATAAATAACTAACTTAATTAATTTTCTTAATATCTCTAAAATAGTTACCTATTCTTATATAGCTTCAGTTCTTGATATAAAAACTAGTTGACTCATTTGAATAAATTAAAGAATTTTATTAAGTTAGTTATTTATAATAAATATATATTATGTTTTCTAAAATATCCTTACTAATCATGTATATTAGATATAACCTTTAATATGTGTAACTAAGGACTATTTTGAAAAAAAAAATATGATAGACAAAGTTATTTGAGATCTTATATTTAAAAGTAAATTGAATATCAAATTAACTTTTATATTGAATATAGAAGATAGTATTAAAAATTTAGAGTAGTAGTTATACCTAAAACCCCAAAGAGTATAAAAGTATAAATGTGGGAGTTTTCAAAAAAAGATAGCACTGAAACTCATCAAGCCTCGTCAAAATAGGGCAACAGTACATATTCCCACATCGTAGTGGGCACATCATCATTTGGAATTGAAAATATTGGTTCACACGTCACATGCCCTTCGGAGAGGTGGGATTCATTTGGCAATTAATCTAATGGACACTTTCTAACAAAAGTTTGGTTTAATAGAAATGATAATTTCGTATATGATAAATTAAAATTAAAATTCCTATTAAGAAAGATGTTTATATTTAATATCTAATAGTATTTTGAATAGGATTATTTCTAATAAAAAAATTATTGTACCTATAATACTAATAATAAAAAAATCTAATGGACGCTTCCTTACCCTCTTGGCGGGAAATATCTAACGGCCGTGCGAAGGTTGTTACTGCTTGTTTGACTTTGTAGTAATCATTAAATTTTACACGAAATTGAGATCTGTCTTTTCTCCGCGCTAAGAAAATTTAGATTGCCTACTTATATTTATTACGGTTAATATAATTTTTAAAGAGAAAATTACAAAAAAAGACTTTAGAATTGCAAAAACACAGATAAGGACCTTGACAATTTCACTTTGGGTTTTGACAACTTCATGACATATTATTACTGTCAAAGTTATAGTAAAGTTGTCAAATGTCCCTATCTGCGTTTTTACAATTCCAAGGTCTTTTTTTACAATTTTTCATTTTTAAATCAAATCTTTATAATTGAACCTTATCATAAATATTTGGCTGAACTAGACATCTAGTCTTCTAATTTTATACAAGATTAATTTTAATTTCTTATTTTTTAAAAAAGTATATTTTTATACTTTTAATATGAAAACTATTAGCAAAAGGTGATAATAATGTGATCTTGAATATGGATGACATATTTTCAAATACTAATATGTTAAATTTAATTTTCAAAACAACCATAATTATTATAAAAAATATCATTTAAGATTAATAATTTTAAGGTTAAATAACTAAAAATATACATTTTAAAATTAAAGGACCAAACTAAAACTTTGTATAGAATCAAAATGCTAAATATATACTTTTGTCTAAATATTTTCTTAAAATGTTAAAATTGCCTACGGTATCACTTTCAATGGGCTTTATTTTCCGTATTAATACTTCTCACTTCATATTTGCTTATTCTTATTAAAAGAAGTAAAGATTCTACGTTAAATTTGAAACAAAACTTACATCCAAGGACAAATAAAAATTTAAATCAGAATAGAGGAAGTACATTATTTTTAATAAATTAAAGTTCGCAGCTGTAACTTAGTGCCTTTTTATTAAAAAATTTCATCAATATTAATATATATTTATAAAATATAATTTTTAATAAAATTTACCGTTTTTGTAGACAATATAATTAATTTTTTAAAACTCATTCAATTTATCTTTTTTTTTATAGGGGACAAAGAAAAGCACACAAGATAAATTAACATAAAAAACCACTCACACCATGTTGGCCCTGTGACCATATGACTCATTACTTACTCCCCTAGCATATCAATCAGACGCGTTCAGATTGAGATTGTTGCCTTGTTAGATGCTGAGAATGAGAGAATATCTTAGTAGAAAAATACTTACATCAATTTTTTTTTTTATATTAATTTTTTTAATAACAGATGATCATGTATTTTACTTTTTTATGTGAATTTAATGACAATGTTTTAATTCAGACAATGGCAGAATGATATATTAAAGCATTGGGCTCTTACAAGATTATGAAGCCAGTATAAAGCAAAATTTGTTTGAACAAGATTGTCCTTTAATATGACACTTCATCACATATAATTTAAAAAACTGATATAATAAATATAAATAATTCGACCTAAGTATCACTTATCTTAAATATATAATCTAGTTTGTAGTAATTTTCTTTGCCATCTGTTGTTGTTCGTGGTACCTAATTATAAATTAGATTTTATATTTATGATATGAGGTAGTATTGTTAATGGAAGTACATGTTCCAAAATTTTGTTATTACAAAAGTTGAGATTTAAATTTGAATTGATATAATTTTTAGTCTTTCAGGTTTGTTCTTATTTTTGTTTTTGTCTCTTAAATTTCAAACTATAAGTTTTAATCCTTTAAGTTTATTTTCATTTATAATATTAATCTCTATAATCTGATAAAAACCTAAGCTATTTTATTTTTTATGAGATTAAAACTAAAATGACAACAAAATTGAGACGTTAAAAACTCTTTAAATTTTTTTACTAAAATAAACATTTTCTATTTTAGACCCTGATTTGAATCCTTCTCCAGTCTAGTCATTCTTCAGTTTCCCGCACGGTACATGTTTGTGCCAAAATCTTTGTCCATTGAAATTGAACGCAGTTATTCCTTTCCTTTTGTACCGGCAACAAAACCAATCATTATTAATCGGACCAAAATAACATTTGGTGCTTGTGGTGCTTCCGAATTAATTGTTCTTGTCCGCTTATCATATCATCATTCTGGGATGACGCTACCAAGCTGCGTGGAAACAACCTCTTCTTGCTCTCAGTAGCGTTCATATTTTTAATTTATTTTTCTCTTCCATTTTGCTCTCAGAAACCAACTTGGGTTGGGTGGTTTACTGTTCATCTCTTCGTCTTCATGTTTGAGCATGTGGAATAGAACTGGATTCTTCTATCCTGTGGCTGAGACGAATCCTCTTCTCCATGTGACCCCACATGTGTTTTTTCAGTAAGAGACGATTTTCATTCTTTTGCCTGCTCTTGTTACGGGTCAAACTTGGTTTTACTGCTCTTTGATTGCGATTCTTGCTTATTTATTTGAAATCAGTACATGTTTGGTGCTTAAGCTACTTCCGCCTTCTCTGTTGAATTCACGAGTATCTTCGGTTCTGGTTTTGTTGACATGTATTTATAGTCAAAGGCTGTAAGTCTGTTTGAAGTTTGAACTTCGAAGTCGAAGTTTATCTGGATTCTATAAATTAGGTTTGTTTCTTTATCCATATTGATTGGATGCAAGTGAGGTAAATCCATCATATCTCCAATTTTGGCTGCCTGTGCAGGTTTTGTTGTTCAATTTCGATGGGTGGTTGTACTAAGAATGGATTTCAAACGAGGCTAGTCTGAAAGTCTTGCTCCTAATTTTGCCTTCTGAAGAACAGAGGAAGACGGATATAACACAACATAGCCAATTAAGTCTGGTACAAATGGCTTCAAGAGTAGATACCAGTGAAGACAGTGAAACCAAAGGTAGCATGTGGGTTTTGGATCAGAACCTTGACCAACCTATGGATGAAGAAGCAGGAAGGCTCAGAAATATGTACAGAGAAAAAGTAAGATGCCAATTCGTATTTAAGATCCTCCTCAACTTCATTTCTTTTGCTGACATGCGCGGAGTTCGAATAATTTTCTTAAAGAAAGCTAAACATATTACTCCATATCAGGTTGCTTGCTACTGCACAAAAAGTAACCACCTAAAGTGGCATAGAACTGTGTTCCTACATCCCTTTTTTTTTCCCCCCTTTCTTTGAAACCGAGTTCCTACATCTGAAGTTCGTAAAAGTTCCCTCTGAAATTTTAGCTCTGTTACACCTTAAAGGTGAAAGGAAGAAAGATGGCAAAAACTTTGCACATACACTTCCCAGTGGCGCCCCACTTGGGATTCTGTTGGTTACTTTCTATCATAGAAAAATAATAAAAAGAGGCCCAGTTTGGTGTAGTGATTGCCTTTAATTCCATTTCCTGCAATAAATTATGCTCTTATAAAGTATCAGGACAATGCTGATATTTTAGCCTCAAGATCACCTTCTTATTCTTATTTTCGTTCCGTTTCATTCCATTATGTGCGCCAAATACGTCTTGCTCTAGGTTTGGCAAATCTGAGTGACAACTTTTGAGAAGTTAACGAAAATACACTTGAAGGCAAGTTCCTTGATAAGCATCCCTGTAGAAGCCCCCCTTGAGGGCCTGTGAGCTATACTTCCTCAACAAGGGTCAAGGGGAGTGCTAGTTGCGTGACTCATAATGGTTGTGTTGTATCCTCTTGATATGTTTCCTGAAGTAACTTCATCCTTAGGCTCATGCAACCTTGAGGGCTAGATACCTTCACTATACCTCATTTAGGGGCCTGTGAGCAAGCCTCTTCTAGCAAAAAGATGGGAAGATAGAGTGCTTATGGCCCCACAACTTGGGGCCTATGAGTAAGAATCTTTGAGATCTCAACTCCATTCCACTTGCTTAAAAGAAACTCATGTCCCTCCTCAATGTGTATTCAGCAAAGAAATTCAGTTTTTGATTTGTCACTTGTCACAAATGATCTGTTGTCAAATTTTAGTTAGATCTCCCCTTATTCTTGTACGGATCCAGAAGTAATTTATTATATCTACTTGTATTTGAAATTATATTTTCTTATTGAATCTTGTTGATCTAATTTTGATTTCTTCAGAAATTTTCTGCCCTATTGCTTCTGCGGCTTGCATATCAGAGCCTTGGGGTGGTGTATGGGGATTTGGGAACTTCGCCTTTGTATGTGTTCTACAATACTTTTCCCCGTAAAGTGAAAGATCAGGAGGATGTGATTGGAGCTCTTTCTTTGATCATATACTCTCTTACTCTGGTACCACTCCTCAAATATGTTTTCATCGTATTAAGAGCAAATGACAACGGACAAGGTATGTATTGTTTTGTAATTTTGGTCTTTAAGATAATCGAGATTGGATAAATCAAACATTTGCTATTATTTTTGCTAGTTGCCATAACGACCAGTTCTGTTTTGTACTTTTCAAGGTTATCAATGAACTTTATTTCTCCCTTACAAGTCACAAGATTTCTTATTTACATCAGCTCTTGTTTTTGCTACGGCAAAAGTTTGTTTTGCTTGCCTAAAAATAATTTTGCTCTCACTTTTTGCTTTTGGGAAAATGAAAAACATCGTGATGCTTGTACCATGAATGGTGCAAACTTTGGGACCCTTTTCATTCTTGTAAAAACGAACTTCTAAATGTGATTCCCTGATATTCCCACCAATAGACATGTCTGAGTTAGTGAAGATACTTTGTATTTGATAACATAATGGATATCTCCGACTGTGTAATTTCCTCTGTTATATCATATTAGAAGTGTCTCGGACAGATAAGTCAATTGGACACTGATAAACCCCTTTAGTTTTCTGAACTTGCATATTTGTGGAGCAGGTGGAACATTTGCACTTTATTCATTGCTTTGCCGACATGCAAATATAAAAACAATTCCTAATCAACATCGCACTGACGAGGAGCTAACAACTTATAGTCGGTCTACCATCCATGAAAGGTCATTTGCTGCAAAAACGCAGAGATGGTTAGAGGAAAAAGCTTCCAGGAAAAATGCTATCCTTATTCTTGTCCTTGTTGGCACCTGCATGGTTATTGGAGATGGGATTCTTACCCCCGCAATATCTGGTATAACTTTATGTGCAACTGATCTGGTTTACATTATTATTAATTTTTCTCATTTTGTAACTGTCAACTGGCTATGCGTAAGTTCTTTATCTACCACTAACTATGCTTTTGCACGTTGTACGTGCACATTTGGGCAAATTCACTGGACCGTAAATATACAAAACATTGATGGGGGTGAGAAAAATGAAACAGTGATATAACCTATAATTAGTTGGCAAAGATGTGGATGTAGGAATGAAGCTTAGGAGCGGCCAAAAAAACATGATTTATTAAACTTGTTCCCTTACACGTGCCACTCAGAATTACAGCTATTCTTATATGCTCCTTCTACCTTTGTGCTTTGTCTTGTGTTAGTTATTAAATTTTTTGAAAAGCCTTGTGTTTAGGAAAAGAAGTTCCCTGTTAAGAGGTGTATAGAATTTGAGAGAAACTGAACATGGGGCTTACAAGGATACTAGAGTTGAAATTTTCCTATCAATCATGTATAAAGGAGTATTGCTAAGGACTCCAGGAAAAATGAATTTGCTGCAATTAATCTCTTGTTTATCATCTCTACCTTTATCAAGTCTCTGATTTATTTTAAAAGACACATAACTAGATCTTCTGCTACAGTTTTATCAGCTGCTGGTGGAATCAAGGTAAATCACCCTGACATCAGTAATGGTACGGATCCTTAAAAGGGGAACAATTTCTTCTATTCCCCCACCTAATTCCTTAAAGTTCTTGTAGGTTTCCACATGTCGTAGATTCTGAGTCTTAAACTTTGTTCCATCTGGCCTGCAGGTGTAGTTGTGGTGGTTGCTGTTGTAATCTTGGTCGGGTTATTTAGCATGCAACATTATGGTACAGATAGAGTTAGTTGGCTCTTTGCTCCAATTGTCCTTCTTTGGTTTCTCCTTATCGGAAGCATAGGTATTTTCAACATCTGGAAACACGACAGCAATGTTCTAAAAGCTTTTAATCCTGTTTATATATATCGGTATTTTAGAAGAGGAGGAATAGATGGTTGGACTTCCCTAGGGGGTGTATTGCTGAGCATAACAGGTACATCTAGCACAACAGCCGTTTATTTACTTCTTGTACTTCAGAACAGTTAGTTAATAACGAAAATAGTTCTCTTGGATTTGACAACTTCTTATGATTTATTACAGGGACAGAGGCTCTATTTGCAGACCTATCTCATTTTCCAGTTTCAGCTGTACAGATAGCATTTACTCTACTTGTTTTTCCTTGCCTTCTGCTAGCCTATTCCGGACAAGCTGCCTACCTTATGAGTCACTTGGATCATTCCCGGGATGCTTTCTATAAATCTATTCCAGGTTCGTCATATTCTTCAGTCTATTGAAACTTACTTATTTTGTGTTGTAACATTTAAAATATTGTTACCTATTGAGCGAGTAATTTATACTTTGTTTTTATTACAAAACAGAGTAGTGAAATTTTTAGAGACCGAAGTACTGAGCCAGCGTTGTCAATTGAATAATCTTAGTTTTAAGACATGGCCTAAAGCGCATGAACATAAGTTCCTTGCGAGTCATTAAATGTGTTGTGAGCACTTTCTTACCCAACCATTTCTGTCCGGAGTTGGGGGCATGAATTTGACATTTATTTATTTGATTTCTGTTAAAACATGTGGTTGGAAAAATACTTAGGAAAGAGTTAATAAAGGGAGGCTTTGCATTACATCCATTTATGGTAGAGTACAGATTGTTTAATCTGATATATAAGTTATGTGGAACTTGTAACAAAGATAAACCGATAACCATACCAAATATTAGGAAGTATGTAATCTGATTATTATTTAATGAAACCTCTTTTTCTTTGATGTTGACTGTCCTTAGTTTTGCAGAGAGAATATATTGGCCTGTGTTTATTGTTGCAACAGCAGCAGCTATAGTTGCAAGCCAAGCCACAATATCTGCAACTTATTCAATTATTAAGCAAGCCTTTGCACATGGCTGTTTCCCAAGAGTCAAAGTCATACATACATCAAAGAAATTCCTTGGCCAGATATATGTTCCGGATATTAACTGGATCCTTATGATTCTTTGCATTGCCGTTACTGCTGGGTTTGAAAATCAAAGCCAGATTGGAAATGCTTATGGTAAACTTTCTGTTGTTATTAGTAACTTGTGATAGGGGTTTCAGCTTCTGATCATATGCTCACTAGCCCCATATACAATGTTTTGAGGAAGGCATCTCACAAAATGCAGGAATATCATATTGTATTGGATAGTCAAATGACATATATGTTATTACAGAGAGATGTAGGAAATAAAAATAAATTGGAGAAGTTCATAAAAATGAGGGATTGATTGATTTCCTAAACGCACGCCTAATTCCGAGTTAACAAGTTACAATGATTCCTTACAGCATTCCAAAGTCCCAGCTTAATAAGAAACTTGTATAACTTTGAGAAAATAAATTATTGCGGTCTAGACTACAACCATATAACATCTTATGCTGCTCTGCACTCCCTATAAACTTGACGTTTTCTAAGATTTGCAACAGTTTATTTATAATTGTTTGCATGTTTAAATTCAATGCCGGCAACTTTTTCTCTGGTGAATGTGTGAAATCAATCCATTCGGATGAATGCCTCAAGTAACACTGTATTGCATTAGGGGTCTATAAAGAATTGCATCAGCATTTCATTTATTTAAACACTTGGCAATTTAGCAAACATTATAAAACTTAGCTCTTTGTTTTAGTGTTTTCAGTCTTTTTCCAGCATGGTTTCAAGTGAAGAATTGTCGTTGTCCCAACAGGTACAGCAGTTGTGATAGTTATGCTGGTCACAACATTGCTTATGACGCTAATCATGATTTTGGTGTGGCGCTGCCATTGGATTCTTGTTGTCGTCTTCACTGTCTTATCACTGATTGTGGAATGCACTTACTTCTCTGCTGTACTTTTCAAAGTGAACCAAGGTGGTTGGGCTCCCCTTGTAATTGCTGGAGCATTCCTTACAGTTATGTATGTTTGGCACTATGGCACAGTCAAGAGGTACGAGTTTGAAATGCATAGTAGGGTATCTATGGCATGGATTCTCGGGCTTGGCCCAAGTTTAGGACTTGTTCGTGTCCCAGGGATTGGACTAGTCTACACAGAGCTCGCACGTGGAGTACCTCACATCTTTTCTCACTTCATCACCAACCTACCAGCCATCCATTCTGTAGTTGTATTTGTATGTGTGAAATACCTACCTGTCTATACCGTCCCAGAAGAAGAGCGGTTCCTTGTCAGGAGAATAGGACCGAAGAACTTCCACATGTTTCGATGCGTAGCACGATATGGCTATAGAGACCTGCACAAAAAAGATGACAATTTTGAGAAAAAACTGTTTGATAATCTTTTCATGTTTGTTCGGCTGGAGTCAATGATGGAAGGATTTTCAGACTCAGATGAGGAATACAGTTTATGTGAGCAGCAGCAGCAAGGCAGGCAGACAACAAGAGATAATAGACTTGTGAATAACAATAGCAGCGGCAACACAGCCTCTTCTGATATGGATCCAACAATGTCATCAGTGGATTCAATTGTGCCAGCTAGATCTCCATCACACGTGAATATTACCGTTAGGTCCTCCGGTCTACGAAGCAGCCAGACTGACGGTGATGAACTTGAGTTCCTGAACAATTGCAGGGATGCTGGGGTGGTTCACATACTAGGGAACACCGTTGTGAGAGCAAGCAGGGATTCAAGATTGTACAAGAAAGTAGCTGTGGATTACATATATGCATTCCTGAGGAAGATGTGCAGGGAAAACAGTGTGATCTTCAATGTCCCCCATGAGAGTCTTCTAAATGTTGGTCAAGTTTTCTATGTATAGATAGATTTTAGTCCTTACATAATGTAATCTATATGCTCGGTTCCTTGTCAACATCATAAGAAGAAGTGTGTATCTCATGCACGGTTGAGCATCGTGTAGTGTATGAATAAAATTCTTAGGTATTGTTATCATCTGTTGCCAACCCTTCCCTCCCTTTTGTTTCGTTTTTGTTTTTTTTTTTGGGGGCCCACAAGATGTTTACATAAGGCTCTAAGAATCTCTCACAAAAGCCAATGGCATTGTAACCTAGTCATGTGAAAGCTCTTATATAAATGAAAGGTTGTGGGTTCGATCTCTGTTATTGTCTCAGAGTATTAGTGCCTGTGAAAAGGATTTTTCACCAGCCTCTAAATGATGGACTGTTGTTTAATTCAAATGTTATACCGTCATCAAAAATGACTGCACAATATGGGAGAGAAATAAATTTTATAAATATGCTTTTACTTTTCTGTGTTATGTTCACTAAACACCGCGCATCCACACACATATTGTAGTGTTACAGAATAGAAACTACTCAGTGGGTTTAGCACATCTGGTTAAAATTTAATTTAATAAAAATATATTAAATTGTCTATATTCAAAATTTATTTTTAAATTTAATGACATTGAAAAGAGATTCCTAAATATAATTTATATTAAACAATTAAAAAGTTAAATAATTTATTTAACCAATGCCTCCAACATTAGTACATCACGATTGAGGGTCTGTTTGGATCAGCGATTGGAAAAGTAGCTTATTGTCAATTTGGCTTATGAAAAAGTGAAGTTGGATAAAAACTAAATTGGATAAACTAAATTATATTTGGATTGGAGTTCGGAAAAATTAGTTTGTAAAAGTGAGATTGATAAAGGGTTGTTTGGATTATGGTTAGATAAAAGTAAGTTTGGTTATAAAATGACCAAAATAGGTATGAGTTTTAATAAATAATGAAACATGATTAAAAAAAAAAGATTTCACATAATACAATGAAATTAAAATAATTTAACATGAAGAAGTCAAATTTAATTAGTGAATTAAATTTTAAAAATTTAGAGAGATCATAAAAAATTAATGCAAATATAAAGTGAAACATGCATAATCCACATTCATAAATATATCTGACAAATAAAAATTAAAAAAATTATGATAAAAGTCAATTAAATTAAAATTAACTCAAGTCTTAAATTGGAAATAAAAATACCACTGGCGTTTCAAACTAAAACTCAAGATTTTAGCCCAAAAAAAAGATTCAAGATTAGATAATGGAAGATATGAGGAAGATGACAAGAACAGCAGAAACGTGGGTATTGACAGCCTTTTCCTGACATGGTCCATAAGCTACTTCTTCAAAAAAAAACTCCCTCCTTTGAGCTTATTTTTAATTGTGCGTTTCTACTCTTTGCAGCCCTCAAGCACTGTGGTGTGCAAGCTTTGCCACACAAGGACAAATTTTTGAATCGGGCTTATTTTTAAAATAAGCTACTTATAGTCCATCAAAAGCTCTCCCTGAGACAATTGCGTTATTCAAATATTAATTTTTTTTTTGGAATATGATTACTACAAATAAGACTTAGTCGTTACAGATGCCAACATATAAATTATAACTAAATAATTGAGAATTACAACTTCTATAGAAGTCTCAATGCAAGCAAGGACAAATTGAATATTACATGCATAATTTGAATCTTTGATTGAATCCAGAAATAAGTAAAACTCTTGATATTGAAATAAGAAATATAAGAAGAACTGTTATTTGATTTCTGTATCATGAATTAATGAATTTAAACACTATTAGCTTGTAATCTTGTAGCGACACAAAGGGCAAGTTTGCTGCTTGAGGAGCCACTTGAAGATACACTTGTGGTGGTACACATGACCACAGGGAATTCCAACTGCTCCTTTGTCTTCTTCTTCTTCGTCTGTTTCACTCGACGGAGTAATCCCATCCAGACATATCGAGCACATTATAGACTCTTGAATCTCGACCTTCTCTAAATTTTCTACTGACCTTTGATGATTTTCGCCGCCGCCATTGTCTTCGTCTGCTATTTCTTCATCGTCGTCCTCGTCTTCCCCTTCTCCTCCTTCTACTTCTCCAAACATGTATTCAAATCGGCTTCTTGAGACATAGATCGTAAGTTCATCACCTTGACCTTCCAAAAGCAGAGCTCGAATTACTTCACGTCCAAGATTTGTACGTTGATCAATTTCAAATATTGATGGCCCTCCTTGAAGAGTAGTTTGATTAGACATCTTTATCTTTATTATTTGTGAAAGAAGAGAAATAAAATGAAATTGAAGCAAATTTTCAAGCTAGTCGTATATTTATAAGTTCAGTTTCCTTTTAGTTTTAGGAGGATCTTTGAATGTTTAATGTGGTTGGATTGTTTAGATATTTAATTGAAAGATATATCTAAATTCTTTTAAGGTAACCATTTCTTTTTCTTTTTTTAACTTTATTTTTTTTGTAATAATGTGGGATCTTTCCAAAAATAAATATATTATATTCCACGATGGACACTTTGTCAAATTTAAATTTGAATTAAAAAACCTGAAAAATAACCATAAACACTTTCCAAGACTGAAGTTATCGAGTAATTTCAAAAGAGATACTACTATTTCATCCAAATCTTCGTAATCAATTTGATTTTGAAATTAGTAATAAGTAGAACTAATGTGTATAATAAATTTTACCCAAAAAATAAATCTTTTTTATATAACATGGAATGTTTTAAAATAATGATTATATTATATTTCAATTTAACTTTAAATTAAGAGATCAGAAAAAATCATAAACATTTTTGAAGACGGAAGTTGTTGATTAACTTGCAAATAGAACCGGGCTCAGCCTGTTTAAGTTGAGGGCCGGGTTTGTAATTTAGAGTCTTTAAAGGGAACTTTGACTTAAAAGGACTAGTCCTGTAAGGCCAAAAATAAAAAGGCCAGCCCATTTAAACCTACTAACAATAATTTTTTTTCTTAATTTATATTTTTTCTTAATCCTAACCTAAGTTCCTAACATTTTACACACACACACTCTCTCTAAGTTTCTTTTTCAGTCTTTCACTCACTCTCAGCTCACACATCAGTCTCTAATGATATTAAAATAAATAAAAATATATTCTTCATATTCTAAATCAAATTTCAAATTTCTATTTATTTGAACCAACATTTATATATTAAATAAACAAAATATATTTCCTGTATTAAAACAAAAATTTTAATGATTGAACTAACAGATACGTATCAATTTGTATATATGTTATAAAATTTTAATAAATAAGTTAACACCTTTTCTATAGTGGCTATATCAAAATTTTTACTCTATATTTAAATAGGGTTAGACAAACGAGCTAGATAAAACTAAAGAAGACCATCATAAATAAAAGCAAAAAGAGGATGACACCATTAACTTATTAAAAGCATACTATGGATCAATCCAAAGTGCTAAGATATTTCAGACTTTCCATAAGACTGTGCAGCAAAGTGGTTTGCACAATTAAAGCCTAAGAAAAAAAAATACTACCTCCGGTCCAAATTATAAGACCTTATTTGTAGACTAGAAATGAGATCTTATAATTAAGACCAAAGGTAGTAAGTAGACAACATAGAATCAATCCCCAATGGTTGCTAAGTTGAAACCTCTAAAACAAACTTAATATTGATAATTTTAAACAAACTTACTGCTGGGTAAAAAATTCAATTCAAAAAGATGGAAGAAGACATATTAGATTCTAGAATAGCTAAATAGTATTGGGAATAAATCATTGATATTTTTTGAAGTTAAGAAGAGCCTATTACTAGTGAAGTGTCCAATCAAATATCCTTATAATCGATAATAGTGATGATAGTGTTTGTCATTTTTTTTTTTTTAGTGAAAGAGTTTGTCTACTTTTAATGAAACTTTTGGATGTTGATGTTATTGACTTGTTATGTCTAATAGATGTTTTAGATTTTCTTTTTTTATGTTGTTGGACATTTAGATATGATGATCTTTCTTATTTGTGACTTAATTTTATTCATATTTAAGTCTTTTAATAGTAACTTCATTAGTTTATTTTTATTTTTTGATAATATAAGAAATATGAAAAATGTAAAAAAAATTTAAACGAAACGGAAGTCTGCGGGCCAGCTTTGAGTCCATCTGTTTAAGGATCAGGCTTGGCAAATTAGGGTATTTTTGAGATTTCAACCTTGCAGGACCAGCCTTTTTAAACTCGCCATCCCTGCAGGGTAGTCCCTGTAAGATCGGACTGACCCGTTTTTCTAGCTCTAACTGCAAAGACGTTAAAGGAGAGAAGATATTAATTAATATCTAATTACTTAGTAGTAATCGAATCTGTCTAATCTAATCAATTTGATTTTCAAGCAATAAAATTAATGTGAAAAAAGAAATTATTTATTATAATAATTAATAACTTGAAATTAAAATTAATTAGTTTGAATTTTTTCATCATTATTAGTCAACGATTCCTCAAATTTATTTGAAAACCCAGGTCTTTAAACATACATATAAATAAGGATAAAACGACCAAAATGCTTTTCTGTGAAACTTTAAAAACAAATATTGAAAAGCTTTATTTCTTATTTCTTTTTTTTTTAATGTAAATAGATATTTTACTTTTTTAGAATTTTTTTCACTCTAATCTATCTATATTGTTCATATTTCTTTCTGTTTATTTAATAGTTTTACGGTTTTTACCAGGTATTAATGGGTTTATTAGTTTTGGGCTGATTGAGTCTTGGCTTGTTTTATTTATTTAGCATCGGTTTTAGATAATTATTAGATAATGTAGATATTAAAAAAGAGCTGGTTCAATTTGTTTCGGATTTTTTTTTAATGTTTGAAACCATAACCTGAACCAAGCCGCCCAGTTCAAGATCAAACACACCTGCATTTTAATCATTTTAATATTTTATAGTTTGGTTCCATTTGAATATCCAATTTAATTTAATATGTGACTCATTCCTCAAATTTTGAGAATTTGTAAAAAAAATGTCTAGGTTATAGTAAATTTTGCCCAAAAAAATGTATATAAGATCTTTTTTTTTTTTCATTATATTCACGTTTAAAATTCATAAAAAAAAATTAAGAATCGGAGTGTTGATTGACTGCATTATTAAAAATATTAAAGGAATATATATATAAATATATATGTATATAACATATTTAGTTAACGGCAGAACGTATTTAAAGTCTTAAAATATATCAATGGAAGGAAATCTTGAAGAAAAACATATATGGTTAATCTGGATGTGCAGCATATTAAACAAAACTAGTTTTTAGAAAATAAATTATTTCAAGAATCTCTTTGTGGTTCAGTTTATATAAATTATTTAAATTGCTTTTTCACACAAAAGATGAAAACAATCATCTTTTGAGCCATAGATCTTGAAAATTAGTGTGATGATTAACTTTTGATCCCTGAGGTCTAAGACTTTTAGGTTTCCTAATAATTAAACGTAATGCATCTTATAATTTATAAGAATCGTTATTAGGTTAATAAACAGAGATTCCTAAATATATTTAGAAATCTAGTGATGAGATTCCGCCCTTAATCAATTAATGACAGTTTTTTTATGAAATTTGCAAATTGCGTCAATAATTCATGATTTTTATAGTGATATAATTCATATTATATAATTTAAAAGTTAGATAATTTATTTAATAAAAAAGCCTCCAACAGCACGGGACAACTGCAATATTCAAATATCAATTTTTTAAATATGATTGCTACAAAAAATTAATACTCAGTTGTTATAGATGCGGAAATAGAGATTATAATTACATAATTGATACCACTTTGGGTCATTAATATAAGACCTCATTAGACTCTTATTTTCGTCCTTTTAGTAATAGTAGTTCTAGAAAAATAAATTTGATTAGCAATGATATTTTAGGAAAGACAACACATATTTTTTATAAAGAACTAACTTAATTTATTTCTTAATCTCTTTAAATTAATCAATTAACTCTTATATTTAGGATCGGAAGTAATATTTGAGAATCATGCTCAGTTACTGTAATATCCTAATATTTTAATTTTTTTAAAAAAAGAAAGATAAAATAATAATATTTTAATACCAAAAAAAAGAAGGGAGCAACTTTCCACATTTCCGTTGAAAAATTGATCATGAAAAATTGACTTGTGGAAAGTTGATGCATGGAAAAATTGAGGCGTGGGAAAAAATGGAGGCATTTGGATCAAAAAGAAGACTTTAGGAGGAGGAATGAAGACTTTGGGAGAAGGAGAATTAAATGCAGAAAGAAAATTTGCGCTGGGTGGTTGAAAGATGGGAGATAAAAATGGAGAGGAGATGCAGAAGACGAAGTGTATGCAAGGAGAAAGAGAGAGAACGAGTAAGAGAGAGAACAAGAATCAGAGAAAGAGAGAACGAGAGAGGAGCAAAGAAGGTTTAACATTTTGAAGGGTAATACAAGCTTTGGGGATCATCTAGGTACACAGATATAGTTCCTTTTTATCAAACTTTCTTCATGAATATTTCTTATATATTTTAGATTTCCTAATGACAGTATTACTAAAGTGCTTAGAGAAAATTTTGATATTTATAGATGATATCAATATAGAGTTTTGGTAAAAGATGATCATAGAAATTTAGAAGTAAATGAGTTGTTAATTTTAATCGGTTAGATTTGTTCATTTGTTGGTTTTTAGTGCTTAAATTGATTTTTCTGGTTGAAAAATGTTATATATGATTTATATCATATTTTACCGATTAAAATTAAGTTGAATAATTTATTTGAGGTGTTTAACATATTATTAAGATTTTAATCGGTTTAGTTTTATTTATTGGGTAACTGGAAGTTTTTAAAATAATTATTTTAGCTAAAAAGTTTATTATTGATGAAAATATACATATGATAATTATACCATTAAATTTTTTATTAGATTATTTATTTATAAATATTTGAAATATTATTGAATTTTTTATAGTTTGATTTTGAGGTTTAAACTTAAATTGAGATTTTGAGAATTTAGAACATAATAATCTTATATTTGAAAATTTTGGAAAATTCTTTTTAGTAAGGTAATTAATTTGGAGGTTGTAAATAAATAATTTGGCTTTTAGAAAATTTTAATTTATTTTTAAAATACTTAATTTTGGGTTATGAGAGTTGCAGGAATTTAGAATAAAGATTAAATTAAATTAGAAATTTAACTAATATAAAGAATTTTAATTAATTAATTAATTAATTAGTTTATATTAATATGTGGTTATACTAATTGTGT